TAATTTTTAAAAAGTTATAAAATCAAGAGTTTTTAAAACAAGATTTCTGTGTAGCATACCCAGTAGTTACCCAACTCCAGTCATTTACCATTAGGGAAACAATTTTGCATTGCTTATCAATCAGTATGCAGGAAACCATTTTTTGTTTCATGCTCCAGCATTTTGTCCTTTAAAAGAAAAATTGAAACATTTTAATGAAGGGTATGTGCACGGGAGGATAGATAGTGCTGAGGGTGTGGTTTTTAGGTATTTTGTCATTTGGATTTTTTGGTCAGGATCCTTAATGTTTTGCATCAGCTTGGGCTTTTAAATTAGATGTGAAGTAAGACTTCTTTCTACATTTTTATAGTTAATTTAGTGAAAGATGTGAAAGTGAAAGCTTGTGAAAGATGCTGGGATTGGCAGCCCCGCAGACTGAAGTCCTCTGTTCATCCACAGAACAGGTACAGCACGGGCAAGATTTACCCACCCACCCTCAGCCCTGATCTGGAGGGACCACCAGTAGGGGTGGGAGGGTAATTCAGCTTCTGAGGCCCTTTCACTCCTTGGAGTCTTTGCTGAGGTGATTTACAAAGGTGACTACTGCAGTGAAATTTTTCTTAAAAAAAAAAAAAAAAAAAAATGGAAACACAATTAGGAACTAGATGGACATTTCCAGCTCATTTTTGAAAGACCAGTGAACAGCAGTCAGTAATTCTTGGTCTTCTTTTTCTTATTTCAGATCCAAAAAGCTAATCCAAGAATCTGATCAGCACCTGAAAGATGTAGAAAAAATTTTGCAGAATGACAAACGGTATCTAGTACTGGACTGTGTGCCAGAGGAGAGGCGTAAACTGATTGTGGCATATGTTGATGACCTGGATCGCCGGGGTCCACCACCACCTCCCACAGCATCAGAACCCACTAGACGATCAACAAAATAAATCCAAATACTCTTCCACAGGGGTATCTATTAATTCAAAACGCTTGCATGAGCCAATTTTCAGGTTTTTACATATATGTGCATTAGTCAACCTATTGGAAAATCATCTGACAACAGGAGAAGCATTTGCGAACAGTTTCTGAACAGAATATTTTGGAAATATGCTTTTCTTTGTGTGGCATGACTGACATACATACTCAAATATAGGCTATCTCTAGTAAATCTAAAATACTGAAGCTAAAAATCATCTTTTTATGAGGTGTGGAAGTCAGTGACTTGGTGACGTTCTTTCTAGCAGTGTTATTCATGCAAGACAAAAGAGCATTTGTGGTTTGAACTTGCAAGATTCAAATACCACAGACTCCCAAGAAAATTTAAGTTGGGGTTTGTTTTGATTTTTTTTTTTTTTAATGCGGGTAAAAGAGAAAACACTGAAAATTGAATTCTTCCAGAGGCTAAGAATATTATAATGGATATACTTTTACCTTTGTTTCTAAAGAACAGTTTAGTTTTATTTGTTCACTTATGTGCTTTGATTATTCCCTCTGAATTACAGGCCAAGTCTTGTTGTTTAGCCTAAGAGAAGATTTATTTAGTAATTTCTTCTCAGGTATGGAACCACATTCATAACTAACATGTTGACCAGAATAGAACTCCTGGTTAAATATATTTTATTCTCCATTAAGTGATCTTTATCAATATTCTGGATTAGACAACAAAATTACCTTTCTGGGTGTTCCCTGTAAACTATACTCCTGTTTGAATGTTAAACTTTTGTTTCTAAAGTTTAAGATGTTTGAATGTTCAGTTTATGTATTTGAACTACAATAAACCAATCCTTTTTATATATGTGGATTATATATGATTATTGTTACATAATTTATAAGAACTAATTGTATACCTGTTTTAAAAGAAACAGCAGGTGGAATTTGGCACAAAGAAAGTAATCTTTGAATCTTGACTATTACATAGTTTTTAAAATTTTGAATATGAATGCAGTATTTCCCAGTATAAAGAGAAGAAATTTGTACAGAACCATTTTTTTTGGATGCTGAAGTCCCTTAGTAATATTTATTGCTTACTAGAAAGAAGATGCTGATTTTTGTTTTGTTTTTCTTTGCTTTGCTTCTTTTCTGTTTGTTTGTTTTGCCATTTATAGAAACATTGATGGTTTGTGCCTTTTTGACGTTCTATCAATGTCATGCGTATCACACCATGAAACTTTGATTCTCAATTGCTTTTTCTAACTTTACCTGCCCAATCAAAAACAAAGTAGAACTATGTTATCCTTTCATAGTTTGCCAGTTTCTGAGTGCCGCATGATTTTTCTTTCCTGTTAATTTCATACCTACTGATTACAACAAAAGCTAGAAAGAGGGAATTCAAACAGATCTGTATTTGTAAGTTATATGTATATAATTAGAGACACATGCACATCCATATTACTTGCTAAATAGCTTGGATCTATTAAGTGCTGTAGAAATTGTGTGAACTCTGTAGAAACCTGGCACCAGTGGATCAAACTAAGGTCTTAATCTGAAAAAATGGGATTTGTATTTTTTCTCTCGTTTTGAAATTTTATTTTTATAAATTCACAAAGTAAAGTGCTTGCCAAAAGGAGCACAACTATTATAGAAATATTATTGCTCTTCAGATGTTTTCACGTCTTCTTTTGTTATTCTAAATTCCACACAGAATTGTTTGCCTACTCACCACATTTCTGTTTTCTCACAGTAAATCAGCAGTGTGAAGACAATGGCTTGGTGATATCTCATGTATCCTACTTTTAAAATATTTTGAGTTTGATTGCACAAATCAAAATTTTCTGTACAGATTTTTTCAAGGGATCAAATCAGGATTCACCATGTCACATCCTTAATGAAAGGTTCATTAAAAGTATGCTTTGTTTTCAGTATCAGTATCTTCATATGGTGGTGCTTCCCCCCCCCCCCCCCCCCCATGCTGAGAATTGAATCCAGAGGTGCTTTACCACTGAACTTCACCACTAGCCCTTTTTATTTTAAAACAAGGCCTTGCTAAGTTGCTAAAGTTGACCTTAAACTTGCAATCCTCCTGCCTCAGCCTCCCCAGGTGCTGGGATTGCAGGTATGAGTTGCTGTGCCCAGCAGATATGGTGCTTGTCTACAGACTCTGAAAAATCATTTTACCCTGAGCTACTGTTAAGGTCGGACTTCCTTCCTATAAAAAGCCCCATCATTCCAAGTGGTGATTTTGAAAAGATGATTCAAGACACAGTTTAAGTTTCCAAAAACTATCTGAAGTCAAACATAATTGTTTTTATTTCTTTACAAGTTAAAATGTCAAACACTGAAAGTTTACATCCTATATTTTCTAAATATATAGTGAACATAAAAACCTTTATTCAAATGGTTCATCACAAACAATTTTAGTGGTGACTTTTTTGTATAACTTAGTATCACAAAACAATATTTTGGGTTCTTGGGTTAAATTATACTTTAACATGAAACTTTCAAGTAAAATTTGGATTGAAGCAAATAAAAACAGTTCTACCTTTTGTGTTAAAAAGCAAACTATGATCATTTATTAGGGGAAAAAAAAATCCCCAAACCCACAGATTGAACATTAAAAAACAACAGTATTTCTTTGCATAGCATATTCTTTTTTTAAGTATTTTTTGTTGTAGATGGACACAGTATCTTTGTTTTTATTTATTGCACAGCATATTCTTGATATTTCTGATTTTCCATTGCTCGCTTTATTTTCCCCCCTCAATAAAAATACCAAAGAATTCCATATGAAAGTAATGATAGATAAATGTCCTTTTTGTATTTAAAAGGGGAAGAAGTGTGTCATAATTATTATGTTTTACTGAATATGATGTTTTACTATAAAATGAACAGTTACTGCCTATTTAAATTTTGCTGTTATGTCTAGGAATACAGATTTGATTTTTATTGCTTTTCATTATTTATTATACTTGTGATTTTTATTTTCTATTATCAGCCAATTTGTCTTTTCATACTTTTTTCACACTTATTACTTGATTATTTTTATAACTTAGAAGCCCTACAATATTTTAAAAGTTGAGTAGGTTTCTGGATAAGTGTTTAGGGGTAAAATTAATACCTTTTAACAAGAAAGTTTACTACCTCCATCCTTTATATTTGAGGCTTGCCTTTAATTAATGGTTAATAGCTGTGTCACTGTATCTTATAGTTTATCATGGGATAGGGAGATACTGGGAAGAACAGATTTCTGTTTTTAAGAAAAATAACTTTCAAGCAGTTTGGAAGAGAAGGAAGGTTGTTTTTTTAAAAAATATATTTTTTCCATATCACAATATAGGATGTCATGTTAGGCTCCTAAAATTCTCAGACTTTATAGCTAAAGACCCATTTAAGTGGCTTTAAAAAAATCATTGAAGAAGACTTTATAGTATACAGAAAAGTTTAAACTTACTTAAACTTTGCCAAAAATAGCTATGGTTTGAAATTAACCCAGAATTGGGATAAGGTTGTTTCCTTATTTGTTAACTTTGATTGGGAAAATTAACATGGATTTTCATTAAGTAAACTTAACATTTATCAAACAAGTAGCTCATTAAGTAAAATTTACTCATTGTGTTAGAGAAAGCTCTTAAGTGGAAGTGGATCTTGAGCTTTGGTTATGTGAAATAAAAATTGATGACATTAGGGCCAGCAGGTTTAGGAAGAAACTGAATATGAATATATATATACAGGCTCAACCTTTAACAGACAGAAGCTCAATTTCAGCCAGCACAGTACAGAGCTGGTTCTAAGGTGCACATAATAGAAACATTCACTGTGAACAAGTGACTAAATAGCTTAACTATCTCATCACTTTGGCAGCAGCTTCTTTATACTAAACACTTTACATGAATTTTTTGGACTTCCAGGTTATAATTCTGAAGCATAAATATTACATAGTGTTTTACTTACCAGATTGCACATTTTGAAAATGCAGAAGCATTTTTGTAATTCTTAATGGCTAATAATTTTGTATGGTAAAGTCAGCAGTATTAATAAGCAGCAGTACAAGTAAATACAATAACCATAATTCATTTTTCTTTGGAACTTTATTTATCACAACCCTCTGTCTCTTGATCTTCATGTTCCCAGGGGATAGGATCGTTGTCTTGTACAGAAGGGACAGTGTCCCTCTCAGTCCAAAACTGCTCTACATCAGGGAGGACTGGAATCTCTGCCTTCTCCATTTTCTCTCTACTGGAGTTGGGAGAGTCAGGTTTCTCTTTCTTTGGAATGGATGCTGAGGTCTCTGGGGATGGAATCTTGTCAGGAAGAACCTCCAAGTTACCAACTGGTGTTTCCTGAGTCTCAGAGGCTCTTGGGGGATTTTGGGTTACCATCCATTTCCATAAGCCTTTCAAACCTTCCCTGAATTCTTCCAACATCACTAGAAAAATGAGAGGATTTGCTGAAGAAATGGAAAACATTAGGACTTGAGACAGGGCTATGAAACCCTGTGGTGGGCTTGAGCCTCCAGCCTTCAGATGCCATACCCATAGCCATGCTATCCATTCAGGGAGCCACAGAAGAGCAGAGGTGATAGCAATGCTGAACAGCATCACTGTGAGTTGCTTTGAACGCATCTGGTTTCTAAAATTTTGAGTCTTAGTTCCTCGGTTTTTACATTGACTGTAAGCTCTCCAGAAATAAAAGCTGGCCAGAAGTAATGGAAGGCAAAATACCAGGAGAGGGTAGAGCTTACCAAACATTGACATGAACTCTTCGGCCACAGCTGGTATATCCATGAGGCACATTTCCACACCTGCGTGGTGCCTGGTATTGCTGAAGAACCATTCTGGCAGGGGTAGCAGGCTAGCCACAGCCCAGATGGCTACCAGCACTGAGCAGATGGTGCAGCTGTGGACACTTACTTGTTTGGCTGGGTCACTTGCATACATGTAGCATACTTTGGCCACTGCAACAATTGTCAGGCTCTTGGCTGCCATGCACATGTGGATGAACCAGTCAGACGACTTACAGACAAACCAGCCTAGATCCCAAACACCTTTGGAATATGCTGTAGCTCTAACAGGTGCTGAAAACAGCAGGAGAGAAAGATCAGCCAGGCTGAGGTTCAGAATCAGGGAATGAATCATGGATGGCTTTCCCTTCCAAGCACTATGAAGGAGGATGCCAATCACACACAGGTTCCCTACGAAGCCCACCAGGCAGACAGCCACCAAGAGAGCTGGGATGATGGTCCTCCAGTCCTTGGAGTCAGAGGGCAGGTACCCTCCAGCAAAATGGAGGTAAGCAAAGGACATATTCATGATGCTGGAGTTGGAGTTGGCAAAGGCAGCTGCCAACATCACCTTCTCCATCCAGTTCCTCCTTAGGAAGTTAGCTCATTTAGGTTTGTCTTCTGTCTCCGCTCTTCTGCATAGGAAATAAATTCTGTCGTCAGTGTCAAATGACACCTTTGGACCCTCCTCCTCGCTTGTTTCCTAAGAACAGAATGTGGAAGAAGGCTGGTTGCTAAGCTCTTCTCTGCTGCGTGCCTTATACCTGTGCCTGCACCAAATGACAGGCAGCAGCAGCAGCAGCAGCAGCAGCAGCAGCACACACAGTTGCTGCTCATTAGCAAGTCTAATACCAAATAGCAGCCCTGTAGAGTAATAAAAATATAATGCTTATAAAAGATAAATGAGAAGAACATACACGTAAGTGGGATTTGTTCCTCGGGGCAGGGAGTTGGGGGAGAAGCGGGGAAAGATCACTAAAGCCAGTCAAGGCAATTATTATTTTTTAATTGTTTTTTGTTTTTTAGTTGTAGATGGACACAGTACCTTTATTTTTATTTATTTTTATGTGATGCTGAGGATCAAACCCAGTGCCTCACACATGCCAGGCAGGCGCTCTACCACTGAGCCATAACCCCAGCCGCATTCAAGGCACTTATTTTCAACGAGCTTGTTTCTAAAATTTTGAGATCTACAATTCAGTAAACACTATATCTGAACCAAGTCCTTTATATTCAAGCATGCCTCAGAATCCCCTGGATAGCCTGATCCAGTAGGTCTGTACTCGGACCCCCAAATTGACATTTCTAACAATTTCAAATGCTTCCTTGCTTCTGGTTGGGAGACACACTTGGAGAGCCAGTTTTAAACAGAACCAATGCTGCTGCTCCTTCCCTCTTTGCAGAGATCTGCTTCCTTGTTACCCTACCCTCAACACCCCTTTGGTCCTGTCAACAGCTTGCTGATATCAAGCACAGCTGGGTAGTGAAAAAAAAAAATGGGAAAAAGTCCTATTAAATCTAATTATGGTTGACTCAAGTTTAGTCTATTGTGGGTTTTTTAGAGGTAATCGCGGAGCTTGGAATTAGAGGTTTGCTTACTAATGAGGCTTTTCAAAAAGTGATGGTGATAAAGACAACCACATGATGAATTAAGCTGCTTTTCAGAGAGAATTCCTAAAAGATTAACCAAGACGAGAAATAAAAGAAAAATCAATAATTTCTATGTTGAAGGCTTTTTAAGAGATTTAAAAGAAAATGACATTTAAAGTTGGGAAAAGAAAATTTTTCAGATTAAATAATTCTGGAACCAGTCTGAAATTGGAAAGTGTTACAAGGCAGTGGACACTCTGGGGAGGACTAGATGAGCTAACATGGTTCAAAGGAAGGGGCAGAGTTGAAATGAAGACACCTTCCACCCTAAGCGTGACTGAATCAGAAGTGCTTTTAGTGTGATCCAATGGAGATGGTACTGGACTAGTCGTCAGACTCTGAATTCTGGTAATTTTGCTCTCACCAGTTCTTCTCAGGAAAGGAAAGGAAAGGAATGACATTTTAAAATTCCTCTAAACCCTGATCTCAGTGATAAGTCTGATCAATAAAGCTACCTACTGGAGAAGCTTCAGTGGTGCTGGGTTTGTTCGATTTGTTTCCTTTCCCTTTTTCTCTGGGAGGTAGAACTATAGCTCTGGCTCTTGTGGACTTAGAGGGATGGGGTGTGGTGGAGAGGTAGTCATTACAAATAGGCATAAAGGATCTTTTTTGGGATGATGGAAATGTATAACTCTAAATTTACTGAAACCTTAAATTGTATACCCAAATATATTAATTTGTGATATGTAAACTATACCTCAATAAAGCTTTTTTCAAAAAACTGCATGAAAGCCTGGTCTGCTTCCACACTCGTGCTATATGATCCTAGCAACTCTGCAGCTCCATGCCACCGAAGCCTAAGCTGGGTCTCATGCTGCTTTTCCTAATAGGGGATACTACCTGCCATGATGTTGCCAAGAGACAACCCGTGGAAATTGTGAAGCAGTAATAAAACAACTAAAAATTTGGGCCATAGACATTTTTTTAAAATTCTACTTTATACTGAAAGAATTTATATTTAAGTAGCAAGGGACATCAGTCAGCTTAATCTCAAAAGAACCTAGATAGAGCAATTTGTGGTCAGTCTTATAACTGGTTTCTGGTAAAAGCAGAGCTAAATGTGAACGTGGTGTTACCAACACTGGGCAAAGTTTGCCCTATAGCTTAGTTCCAGAGAAGGGCTAACAATCATGACAATCTTTTTTGAGTGCATCCTAAGAATCAGTCTCTGTGCCATGTGTTTCAGGCATTTAGCTCCTCATGACAGCTCCCGAAGAGGGTATGATTGTATTCTCTATTTGCACAGATGATGACACTGAGATATATAATAGCTTGCCTGTGGGTCAGTACTACACAGCTAGTAGATGACTGAGTTGAGTGGGAACCCCAAGAGTCCAGAGTTGGGTTTCAGAGCTGTTTATAAGCTGTTTGCTATCCCGCCCAAACAAAGAAATTGTGGGATATTGTTCTTTAAGTAACATGATCCTCAAATTAGCAGAATTCAACCAATAAAAATTGAGCCTTCTGTCATGGGCGAGAAAAGCTCACGCTTTTCTTTCAGTGAATATGTATCGGGCCATTCTTGTGCTAGGTGTGATACTAACCCTGAGAACCCAGAGTGGAAGAAGAGTCCTCTTTTTTAAGGAGCTACAATCTAGGGGGCAGAGACAAATCTCAGGGACAATGAAAATTGTCATTGAAGAGTCCTGGCTGCTATGGATGCCTGGAGGAGAGCATCTGACCCACACCAGGGGTTGGAGGGGTTGGGGTTGGGAGGTTGGGGGAGAGCCTGGAAAGTCTTCTTGGAAGAAGTGATATTGGAGCAGAGAACTTAGCCATGCACCTTCTCACTTCTGCCAGTACCTTTTTGGAGCTTATCATTGCTATGTATTAAGTAACTGTTTAGCACACCAGAAAACAGCTGCTGCTTCTCAGAGAGGTTGTTCAGTGCTGCACAGTGTTCTTCCATCTCTGAGGGTGAACCTCTCCAACAACCCACAGGTGTTCAGGCTTTGAACTCCTCGTGGAACACATTGAATCAGGCTGGGCTTCACGGACCAGCTGCAGTTTGTTAGCCTGCTGGAGAGCTTTTAAAGCATGCTCAGTTCCGTCTCTGTGGGTACTCACAATTTGGCACGCAGTTTTTTCACTACAACCCACAATATTAATGAAAAACCGTGAGTATGGTTACTGTTTTTTCCTTTGCTGACTATTGTGCTTTGTTGAGTCTCCTGTTCTGTCATCTCCTGATTGTGCTTCTCTTTTTGGACCACAGTTGCTTTTGTGGAGTATCTTTTGCTGCGGGGCCTTCCTTAGTGACATTCCCATTATCTAATGTCTGGTATTCCAGAGTGTCGGTCCAGGCTAGAGGTGTGAGCAGAGCAACAGTTCATCTCTGAGGTAAGTGAGTGGGTATGACTGGGTCTGAGACCTCATCTTGCTTTTGTTGTTGGGGAGAGCCAGGGACTAAAAGTTAGAAGACCTCAACCCTATCTTTGAAAAATGAGACTATTAAATCAAAAAAGGTCATTTTGGATTAGAGTCAAAAACTCATTTTCCAGTTTGGAGACAGTTATTTGTCCTTTGGAAGATGGCTTGACACAAGCTGGAGTCTTGGATGCCAGGTGGACGGATGTGGTTTTTCTTTCACCCTATCCTATTCTCTGGCAGGGTTCTTTGTTAATAACTGCCCATTTTGACTCTGGGGAGGATAAAATTTGGACATAAATGTGATGGCTCCTTGGGAAAGCAAAAGGAGGGTAAAAACATGAGGGTGTATCTGCATTGTGCCAGGTTATATAGAACTTAGTCCTATCTAAACATGACTGTGGCTGATATTCTGAGGCATATATTTACTCCTTTTTTCCTTCCCAAGAGTTTGCTTTTATATTATTATGATGCAAATTGTAATTGCAGCCACAATTTTTGTTATAATGTAATGAGGGGCTCCAGTCAACCAAAAATTCCCTAGAGAGAGGTGTCAGAGGTTGATTTATCCACAGTGAAGAATATATGGGGTACTATATTGTACCAGCATGTCTTTTTTAGCAAGTAAAGCATTTAAATACCTTAACAGGCCCAGGATAGTCCTGCTTAGATATAACCAGCCCATCCCTGGCTATAGATGTCTTATTTTTTAGAGTATTATTTGCTGTGGTTTTCTACTGAAAGACATGTTCCATTAATTAGGGGAAAAAATCTAGTTGCCACAACCAACCACCTTGTACAAGAATTTTTTCATTAAAAAAAAAAGTTTCATTCATGTCATACAATTCATCCATTAAAGTGTACAATTCAACATTTGGTGGATATTATTCTCTTCCTGTTCCCACCCCGATCAGCAACATGCTTGTGGTGGTCTCCTTAGTGTGACTAGATCTGTTTCCATGACTACCAAACTCGGCAGTGGGTAAAACATCTTCACGCAGGTGTCCAACATCCCAGGACCAGATGAGTTGGGCAAGGAAGGCAGTGTTCAGAGATCCAACATGAATTTGATTTCTTGGTGGCACATAAAAAAAGCAAAGAATGTTGCTTTCCTTGAATCCCAGACTTCACTTTTTAAAAAATGAGCAAGGCATCTCTTGCCGTCTAGATTTTGCCCTTTTTGTTCACGTTTGGGAGAGAAAAAAATTTATTATTGAAACCAGGGGAAACTGAAATAAATCCTTTAGACTTCATCTGCTCTTACTTGCTTTTCTAGACTTAACCTGCTTAACCTGCTTTTAGGTTACTCACTTTTGGTTGACTGTCGATAACACCCCTGATGTGTGCATTATCATGGTAAGGACAGAGGAATGTGATTCATTCACTTTTCCATGCTTCAGCAAATAGATATCCCCAAACCCAATCCTGGGGAGGCAGATTGCTCTCCTGTCTCCTCACAAGCTGCTTCCTGAATATGCTTTCTAATTTGCAAAACTTGTCTTTTCAGTGATTGGCATATTGCACGGTGAGCAAAATAAGCCTGGTGTGGTAACTTTTGGTGTG